TTGCTGTTTATGCATGTTTATTAGCCATGGATCTTGGAAAAACATATTGTGATGAACATCGTGTGGCCTGTGGCCTTTTGTTTTGCCACCTGTACTATTATGCTGGTTATCCGTGTATTTTTAGGTACAAAACAGATTGAAGTTTGTGTTATATTAGTTAATTATGTACACATAAAGACATGCAAAATATACAAACACTGGCATACATTAAACATTGGCAATGTATTGTTAAAGTGAATATCTGGCAACCACAGTTAAAAAAATTTATATATATATTTAACAGTAGTTTTTACATCGTATCTGTCAAATTCAGGAATAAAAGTCCAAATTTAACAGTTACTTTCAGGAAGTTCCTCTGCATAAATATCATAAATATTGCAACATCCTTCAGTGATGTTCTTATGCCTTTTTGTATTATATCTGGCAGTGTCAGTGTACCCAAGAGAATCTCCACACAAGAGCGAACAGAAAGCATGTGGGGTGAGACAGTGAACAGCGGAAAGTAAAAGGAAGTTTGTTCTGTAGAAAAGAACTACTGAAGTTAGGAAGCACAAAAACAGAGATTTACATTCATATATGAGATAAAATGCAAGAAGACTCAGGCCGAATTAATTATATTCTCACAATGTTACCAAAAATGTATTTCGATAGTCCTCAGACATTCTACTAACTATAAGTTACTTTGAAACTATGTACATGTCAAGTAACTCTCATTACAGTTTTAGCAGACTGTTTTAGGTTAGGGTTAGTAGAGTAAGTTAACATGTACTTGCAAAGTTACTTACAGTCAGCAGGGTGTCAGGACAATCAAAATAAAGTTTTAGCAGATATGAAAGAAATAAGGGATAGGGGTAAATGTACCAATTATGTACCTTTTAGCTTTTGTAACTATCAACACTGGGGTTTTGCAGCTTTTAGTCTATGTCTGTCGGTCTTGTGCTAATGTATAGTAAAGATGCTAGTGTTCGTATTGCACGTTTCAATTTTGAGGAAGTCAACAATATGAATGACTCATTTTGCATGTAGAGGCATTTTGTGGACTAAAATGTTGTTTAGTATGAGCATGTTTCTCCCTCTAATAGCATCTGCCACTAAAATAGCTGGAGAGAGCTATCCATTAACGTTCCCATTCATCTCAAAGGCAGTTGCTCAGTTGGCACATGCACCACCCAGGTGTATGTGAATTGAAATAATCTGCATCGTAAATATCATGGGAATAATTACTCTGGAGCTGCAGGAAAATGACATCAGGACACTGATTGGAACCCATGACATGCCCAAATGTTTCATTAGGAAATACCATACATGAGCAATAAAGAGTGAAACAGAAAACTGTGATCGCCTGATGATAACATGAGATCTTTAAAGACTCCGTCTGAAAGGTTTTCTCATCAGTGAAGAGTGTTGTCTGATCAATATAAGAAATTTAGCAATGTGGCAGAGTGTCACTGAGTTAAATAACTCCATTAGCTGCAGAACCAACAAAATCCTTTTGTTGAGAGCCTGTCCTGATGCCTGGTGCTTTAATAGATATATTAGAAGAATCAACATAATCATTTGTTCTGTTCTGTTCTATTCTATTCTATTCTATTCTTTCCCTGACTGTTTCAGGTTATTAATAATTCTATTTTTTGAATCAATTGATGTATATATATATATATATATATATATATAGTTTGTTAATGTTCAAGTTATAATATTATTATAATATAAAAATATTGCTAATATATATTATTTATTCATATTATGTAATTCATATATATTATATATTCACTCTTTTCAGCAGCCAGTAACTTCTTTCAAAAACATTCCTCAAAATGGTTCCTTTAACTGTACAACTGTTATTAAATCTCAAATCTGTCAGACAGGAAAATAAATATTCCCATAGAGATATTCCACAATATTTATCTTAAATCGATCAGTTCTTCAGATAAACTGACGTTACATCAAAAACAACCTGACTAATACACTAACATCATCGTGTTGGCAGAGAAAGAGCTTGTAGAGTGTTTAAAAAAAATGTGTTGCATAGCTCTGGCCTTTTCCTCAGAAAGCCTGTCCCCATGAGTCTCTATGACAACCATATGCTCACAGCCAGCACTAATACAGACACACTGCGAGCATGTAATGAAGTGTGCATCAGTACAACCATTTTTGTTACTCACTCTCACACTTTTAAGCTCATTGCATAGGTATACATTGTATGTGAGCATGTGTGAGTATTATAATATATTGTATATTCTATTCATCAAATAATCCTGAAACAAAATTACAGTTCAAACAAAAATAGCAGCACAGCTGCACAACTTAAGCAGCATAACTATTTTCAGCATTGCTAATAATTAATGTTTCTTGATCAGCAAATCAAAATATTAGAATGATTTCTGAAGGACCATGTGACACTGAAGACTGGAGTAATGAGGCTGAAAATTCAGCTTTGTATCACAGCAATAAATTACATTTTAAAATAAAAACAGTTATTTTAAATTGAAACAATCTTTCACAAGATTACTATTTTTACTGTATTTTTGATCAAATAAAGGACAATAATTAGCTTCAGTGAGCATAAAAAATGCCTTTCAAAAACATGAAACAATCCTAATTATTCTAAACTTTTGACCAATAGTTTATACATTTACATAAGCTATGCTCTATGCTGACAACAGCAGATTGTGAAAAAGACGCCAAATGCGACACAAGTACAAGGGACAGTCATAAACGCCTGATACCTGATGTAATGAAAATCAGCAAGTTGGGCCAATTCCTCGCTGTACTGAAGAGAAAGCATCCTGTGAGCTCTTTGTCTGGTTTATGTGGCTTTCTCTGGCCCAATTTCCTTTTAAAAAAGAGTGATTCAGATGCGCTTTAGAGAAAATTAAATTCCTCTTTTATCAATAATCTCAGCGGCAGTCACAACATCTATTCCCTCCCGTGTTCTTCAAGGACAATCTGACAAACTTACCTTTGATGTTAACACTCCTTTTGATCTTTCAGATGATTTGTGGCAAATGATGGCATAGACCACCACGGTCAAGATCTCTGAACACAATGCTGTGATGACGTGCAGCTCGATTAACGCACACAGGCAGAAGCTGTCAGATGAATAAGCAGCACTTCAACAGGTATGAACAGTGAAAAACCCTGCATGATATTTTAATAGAGTAAACCAGGTGAACTCGGAAGTGTTCCCCAGTGAATAAAGCCGAGCACAAGAGGCCACACTCAAGAAATGTCCACATTATTTCATGCCCATGAAGGCCATTCGATTAATGCTTTCTTGTTATATGACTCATATAGCACTGTAATAGTTTTCAGTTGATTTTTATTTGGACAAAAATGAAATGTTTGATGACTTGGTGGTTCAATAAGTGAGAATGCTTGTTAGAATGATTAAAACTGATAACTTAGGAACTGGTGAGTCATTAAAAGTGTGTGGTCTTTGTTTTATTTCAAGCTTTCTGCTCATCATTACATTTGATAGCAAGCTCAAATCCTAAAATATATTGTAAAATAAGGTGTGTGAAGCAGATTTTAGTTTTGCTACATCAGTAGTTGCTACATTTCAGTCTTAGTAACAACACGTATAACGACAAGTATTATTGGAGTATGTTTTATAAGAAATACTATTTCAGTCTTCACATTTATTTCAGTATGTAACTTGAGGTTTATCTGTGGTATTTACTAATTGTAAATTAATTAATAATTGTAAATCTTACACCAAATCTTTTTCAGTCTACTAATTTGAAACAAACTCTTCACTTTAAAGGGGTCCTATTATGCTTTTTCACTTTTTAAATTTGAGTCAGTGTGTTGTGTGTATGTTTGGGCATAAAAAAGATCTAGAAAGTTACAAATCTCAAAGTCCACTCCAAAGGGAGATATTTCGTTTTTTAAAAATCCCTTTTCAAGAACTACAACGAATGGCTCGTTTGGACTACAACGTTGGTTTCCGGGCTTTGTGATAACACAAAGCGGCCCATTAGAATATCATTACAAATCATTCCTGCCTACAGAAATTCGAATGGTTGGGGGGAGAGGAGGGGCGAGGTTGTGGTTAGAAAGCTTGGTTGAGTGAGTGCATCAGACGAGACAAGACAGATGAGGGATCACTTTTCAGAAAGTTTCAGTCTGGATCTAATTTTCTATAAAAATAGTATGGGAATTCTTGTTAACCCTTGATCAAATCAGGCACTGAGCTGCATCATACAAAATAGGCCGTGTTTATGAGAAACCAGTTATGAGATTCCATCAGCCCTGACGCCCTTTCAATAATTTATCGAGTAACATCATGTATTACAAAAAGTATTGGATGCTACTGTCATTCTGATGAACTGATATGTGTGCAGCTCGCTTCTCTGCTGAAGACATCCATCATTCAGACAGAGTGAGAGTCAACAGTACAACAAACAGCATGAAAGATCCACAAACTGACCCATGTCTCAAAATGTTCCATGTCCTACACATTTCCCTACAGGTCTTTTGAGAAGAAACACGTCTAGACAGTGGCCAGCACTCAATGTACAGCTAATTAAAAATATCAGTGAATAATTTGAATCTAATCTTCGTGCAAAGCTATCATATAACTCTTTTAAGACTTGGAATATATCTTAAAAGTCATATTGTATACTTTTAGATGCATTTTTTTTCCTTTATGGTGGTGTATAAATTAAATTGCCATCCACTTTTTTGTTTAATAGAAGAAAAGAAAATAATATTGTGTTATATTATGGGTGAGTAAATTAAGACAAAAATTTTAATTTCTCGTTGAAGTATTCTTTAACACAACATTGTGAATAGATAGATATTTCAAATATATCTTTATATATATATATATATTATTATACAATAATATAATAAATATTAAATTATGTTTAAAATTATGAATATAAATTATTACTCCATTTCATTTTTAGATTATTTTTTATTTTAATTTTATTATTATAATTTATTTGCCTGAAAAAGCAGTGTTTCTCAAATATGTGTGTGTGTGTGTGTGTGTGTGTGTATATATAAATTAAATATAATTTTTCCTTGAGGTTTTTCGAAAGTGTAAATTACAAGAAATTTGCACGATAGTCAAATCTGTGCAAAGTATGTTTCGTTACGCTCCATGTAATTTTTTTTGCTTTTCATAGTGTTGCTGAAATATATTAACTAAATGTTAAAAATAAATCAACATATATATACAGTACAATACATATAATAATGCAGATAAATTAAAGACATCCTTGCATGAGAATATTTAAAACATGTAACTGCATAACAATCAGTGCAAAACACTGCAATACAATTTGGAAAATTATAGGTATAAAATTTCATTAGAAATATTAGGCTACAGTATCACATTGCCCTTTGGGAGGTGGAAGAACAAGGTAAAGGGATCAAAATGCATAGTTTCAGCGTACAGTTTTGATTTGAATCGCTTGTCTCGGCTTAATGTGTACCCACAATAAATGAGTGATAGAGTGATCATGTGCATGAGAATGTGGTTTAGTTCAGTCTGTGCTGTTTATAGACCAGTTATAGGGCAGATAGCTCACTTTGACCTTTCCTTCTGACAGCAGAGCCTGTAGAGTCCTCTTCTTCTGTGATGCTCCCATATGGTCAAACACCCAGTTCAGCAGCTAAAAAAGAAAACATTAATAACTCAGCAAGTGTATGTTTAAAGACAGAACCAACCACTTGCATTGCATTGAAAAGAGCAGCTTGGAAATTCTGCTAAGTATCTCCTTTAGTGTTACACAGAAAAAAAAGAAGGAAAAACATAAATATGAATGAACTATTTATTTCTGGGTGAACTATTGCTTTAAATGAAACCACATGTGCATGAATCGAGAGTGATTATGTATTTTAGTAATACCTTCTCATCGGTGCCTCCAAAATCTGCCTTGTACCACTTGAAGATCTGGCTGAGTTTCACTTCTCGTCCCACGCTGTCAATCACGCAGCTGTCGTCATTCTCCAGGAACGCTTCTGCTGCAGCACGCAACTGACTGTCAATGTCCTGATGTGACACATGCAGGGAAATCTGACTGTAAAACACTATATGTGACCCTGGACCACAAAACCAGTCATCATTTTTTTGAAAGCTGAATAAATAAGTTTTCATTTGATGTATGGTTCATTAGGATAGGACCATATTTGGTCGAGATACAACTATTTGAAAATCTGGAATCTGAGGGTGCAAAAAAATCTAAATACTGAGAAAATCACCTTTAAAGTTGTCCAAATGAAGTTCTTAGCAATGCATGTTACTAATCAAAAAATAAGTTTTTATATATTTAAGGTAGGAAATTTACTAAATGTCTTCATGGAACATGATCTTTACTTAATATCATAATGATTTTTGGCATAAAAGAAAAATCGATAATTTTGACCCATACAATGTTTTTTTTGGCTATTGCTACAAATATACCCCAGCGACTTAAGGTTTTGTGGTCCAGGGTCACATATGCTTTACTCTGTCAGAAAGAACGTATAGACTGTATTGTAATTGAGAGTATTCTGGATGTTAACCTGTGGTGTGTATGTCTTAATTGGAGGGCAGCCCTTTGCACCACAGTTCAGTGCAAAATGAATGAGAGGCTCAACATCAGGAAGTGCCACCTAATGGATGAAGACACGCATTACTAATGATAATAACCTTCACAGACATCCTTTACTCCAGTGTTTCTCAAGTCTTTCTTGTTTTCAATACCTCCACAGTTTCAGTACACTACCATTCAAAAGTTTGGGGTTAGTGAGAATTTTTTATGATTTTGAAAGAAGTCTCTTATTCTCAACAAGTATTTCATTTAGTTGATCAAAAATACAATAAAACTGTAATATTGTGAAATATTATTATTACGATTTTAGAGAACTGCTGTTTTCTATCTTAATTTATTTTAAAACATAATTTATTTCTGTGCTCAAAGCTGAATTTTCAGCATAATTTCTCCAGTGTTCAGTGTCACATGATCCTTCAGAAATCAATCTAATATGCTGATTCGCTGCTCAAGAAATGTTTATTATTATCAATGTTGAAAACAGTTGTACTGTCATAATTTTTTTATGTTTTTTTTGATAAATAGTTCAAAAGAACAGCATTTATTTGAAATAGAAATCTTTTGTAACATTTTACATGTTTTTACTGTCACTTTTGATCCATTTAATGTGTCCTTGCTGAATAAATTAATTAATTCAACTTTATTTCCAGATTCAAGGTCCAAAAAAAAAAAGAAAAAAAATCTTACTGACTCCAAACTTCTGAACTGTATAAACTGGTATAATCAACATAAATGGACAGGTTTAGACTTACACAAATAATTTTTTCACTAAATGGGTTAAGACATTAATTGTGATTTCAATTCCATTTCGATTTATCGTGCAGCCCTACATCCGAGCATGTTTTTCTGAACACAACAACAAGCAGACTGTTCATGACATACTAACCTCCATCAACCTCACCATCAGAGTCAAAGCTATTTTCCCCAGGTACAGGCGGAGCATCCAGCGGCACGGGTTCCTCTCTTACTGACAGGACGAGACGTTCCAGCCTCTCAGGATCCTAAGAACAAAAAAAAAACAACAACTCTATTTTATTGCCAATTTGCTAATTTCCCAGAAGTAAATATCAAGCCAGCTGTTAGTCAGTAGTGAAATCATGCATCAGATACTGTTTCTTGTCTCACCAGGTTCTGGAGGTCCTCGTTGTTTCCCACATACAGGTTATTGAAGAATATCTGTTGTACGACACTGTGACCTGTGAGCTCCTTCAATCGTGCTGTTAATTCTCTGTGCTTGTTCACATCCACATCACACACAGGCACACCTAGCGTACTCAGAGTAGCTTTGGCCTGTATGCAGTGTGGACAGCCTGGCACGGAGTACACCATTACCCGTCCCCTCATGACGGTCCCATCCTCCACCATCACTGCACCTGAAAGGTCAGAGTAAACGCAACCATCCAAACATTTGAAAGTTGTCACGTCAATTCCCTGAACATTTCTCTCTTACATACGAGTCGTAAAACGAATGAATCCGTTAATAAACAGGCAAAAGATGTACATTCTGGTGTCCCAAGACTTTCTTTTAAACCATTAGAGGCAAAAATCCTGCATTTAAGAGAAATTATATAACATAAAATGGTCTGGGTGTCTTAACATTCTTTATTTTGTGTAACAAGTAAAACCATAAAACTTCGCTAACTTATGCCATAATTTTGGAATAATATATTAAACTGATATCCAACTGTAATTATAATTAATTAATTAATTGCAAAGGCTTTAATGGCTGTCCCATATTTTGTGTGTGCATATTTTTTGCTAGAAATCTGCAAAATCACAATATATTTATTAATATTTTAAATGATCTTTTATTTGTATATTTTCAGTTTTAGGTTTAGTCATTTTGCTTTGGTCTTTTTTTTTAACATTTCTATTTAGCTTTATTTTATTTGTATTTCAGTTTGAGTTATTTTCTGTTCTTCAACTTTTAACATATTTTATTTCAATTGGCAGGGCAACATTTCTTTCATTTTCTAGTTCTTTCACTTTTTTTATTAACATTTTTATCTCATTTGTATTTTATTTTATTTAATCTTTAGTTTAATGAACAAAAAGAATGCTATGCAGTTTTAATTTGAGTTAATAATAACACCAATGAACGTTTAACACTGTATTGAGACACGGTGGTTGCAAAAATTACAAAAATCACTTAAAAGGGACAAATTAATATTTACTCATATTTAGCTGAAACCCCTCAGGTTAACAAATATGTCCTGAAGGCCAAGCTTGTTATGCTTGTTAAAAAAAAAGAGAGACATTTCACATAGAGGTTTTATACACTAGAAATTAGAGAAATTAGCAAAACGATATTTCTTTACAAAAAATGGACCACACTAAGCAATGGTTCCGACAAAATGCAATACCTGTTACTATAAAATACAGTTATGGTTCCTCCAGAAAAACCATAATGAACACCTTATATTTAATTTTAATTTAATTCCAAGGAATGTATAACAACAGTAACAATGGCTGTGCATGTAAACTCTGGTTACTAAAGTAAACGTTTGTACAGACTAGAAACACCCATGCATCACTAGTAATAACAGCCAGCAGTTTAATACAGGAAGCAAATCCAGAGCTACAATATTGCTGAAGCTAAAGACACAAACCTCCACACCAGCACAAGCGCTTTTCTGCACGAGCCTTTTCTTGCCAGCTGCTTTCGCTCGTATCGCTATCACTATGTGACTAATGTTACAACGAAACGGATCTGCTGAGCAGGCTAAATCTGACGAGCTGTATGTAAACAATTGAACATTGTTGAGCGAAGTAACTGCGCCTTATAATGCTATTCATAATGACCCAGAGTGATATCCATCTGCATCTGCGTGACACTCAAATAACTGAGTAGAGAAGAAAACAACCGGACAACGGCAGTGTGAAGTCAGACACACAAGCTCTACTGAACGAGTCTATCATTTAATAATAATAATAATAATAATAATGAAATATTATATATACAGTAATTTATTGTGTGCACTCTGTAATGAATGTTAATAAATCTTTACATTTTTTTATGTATGTTCAGTAACATTGGCTCATTACAGCTTTGTCTTGGCTCATGTGCTCATTCATTTTTTCCCCAGTTTATTAAAAAATTTTAATAACACATTTAATTTAAATGTTATATTGCAAGGATCATTTTTACGCCGAAATGGGGTCTTTTATTTTGAAATATTGTCCTTCCTGAGCTCGCACCGTTGCTTCGCTCTTCATCTGTCCAGGAAGCCCATCAGCACTGTCAAGGTAACTCAACCCCTGGCGAATTCAACAACCCTTTAAAGGAGAATAGTCCACCAAAAAAAAAAAAAGTGCTCACACTCAGGTCATCCAAGATGAAGATGAGTTTGTTTTTTCATGCGAGCAGATTTGAAGAAATGTAGCATTACATCACTTGCTCACCAATGGGGACAAATGCGAGCCCTCTATCCATAATATTGCTTTATTATAAAGTTGAATGTATAAGTGTGTCCAACTATATCCACATACTGTCTACATGTGTATGGCGATATATTTGCTATAATATATCTTAACTGCTTGATTGCTTGTATTGTCACAGAAAGCAAACTATATTATTGCTCATCTCAGAGCTGGTAAACATGACTATAAGGCATGAAGATATTAAAATAATATAAACATCAACGTCTTGATATTCTGTAAAGCAGATTTGTGTATTGTGAGAAGTGCTATGCAAGTAAAAAAAAAAAAAAAAAATCCATTTTTAATTTTAGCAATGCATTACATTTACCAGAAATAATGTTTATATTTTTTATTCATTTTTACATTTTCTTTACACACGTTTTTAGTTATTTTTGTTGTAAACTAAAGTTAAAGACTAGACTGCATGTACTTAAAAACACTAGTATTTTTAATATAAAATTTGTTTCGTAGTCAGAGGTGGGCTTAACCATTTGGAAAAAGGTCGGCGACCGCCTTGGGCCCCCAAAAGTCAAGGGGCCCCTAAAATGCTTTTTATACAGGAGATGCACATTAAGCGCGGACACGCAAACGGTTACTGTTGTGTTCACTACCACGACAGCTGTCCGTGTTGAACGGGCTTCTTGTGTGTCCTTGTAGCAAATTAAAATGTAATGCATCTGAAACTGTTATTAAATATTGAGCAACAGTGCGTATTATATGTTTATTGTTTTAAATGCCGCTTACTCGTTTATGAGAAGATCCCAAGTAGAGGATGCATGCGCAGTTACTTTCCACACAGGCAATCAACTCTGACACACCACTGAATGCGCTGCACATATACAGTATTCTTCATTTTTGGTTGATATAATCCTTAGGTGTGTACATGTATAATTTCCTCGTCATTATTTAAATTTGTAGTTAAAATAACTTGAAATAAATGTATTTTCAAGTTTAGAATTAGCTTTTGGAGAGTGTAGGCAATTGCGCCAAAGCACCACCCAGTGTCCAACCCACTCTGATACTGTTATAACCTGTTTAAACTTGAATATTGTAAACGCACTGGGTGGGGCAAAAATGATGACATGTGCATGAAAAATGTAGAAACATTGGACACAACTATGGGTTACCGTTGTGCAGCAGCAAGCATCACAACAGAGAAAGGAACCTCGAGGTTGATCCAGGTAAATGTGTGCAAATGTATAAGGCCCCATTCCTATATTGTGTCTTGGGACCCCAAATCACTAAATCCACCCCTGTTTGTAGTATATAGTTTGAACCGTATTGGAATCAAAATCATAATTATTCAGTTTCTTCTGATTCCCATCTTTTATCATCTCTTCGTTACATAACATTCAGACAACACTATATTGCTCTGAGATGGCATGATCAGAACTATTATCAGCAGTCCTTGTGCTTACTGGAACACAGTGTGCTTTTTTTGCCATTTTCTGTCACATATGAACTATTTTATCTGAGTGTAATCGAGGAGTGCATGGCACGCAGCCATCTAACCGTGTTGAACTTTCTTTAGTCAGCCTTAATATGCTGCCGGACACAGTTTTTGTTTTATCCAGCTGTATTTACTCAGTGCAACTTATAGCATCCAAGTGAAAGTTTTAACACCAACATGTTAAAAAACAGAATCACTGAGTTGGAAGAAGGATCAACCTCCTCCTAAAAATGACTTGTAAACTCAATCAGGTGTAGCTAATCACCTTCTCAATGGCACACAAAGCCATTTGACTTTCAACTGTGATCAGCTGTGGTCATTTTGATTAGCTCAGCATGAAAAGAGCTTTCCTGGAGCATGTCAGTCCTTGGTAGTGCAACTGAAGCAAACAATCGACTCTGGGTGGCAGGGCATTGGTAAAAGATCTCCAGGATGCAGTTGTGGACAGGCACAAGTCAGGAGATGCATACCAAAAATTTCAAAGGCTTTATCAATGCCTAGAAACAGTGCAGCCTATTATTAAGAAGTGGAAGGTATTTGGTACAAATTCTTGAGAAAAATCTGCTGCCCTCTGCCAGAAAGATGTCAATGGGAAGAAGGTTTACCTTCCAACATGACAATGACCCAAAGCACACAGCAAACCTGACCACACAGTGATTGAAGGAGAAAAAGGTGACTGTCCTTGCATGGCCTCGTCAGAGCCCAGACTTCAACCCCATTGAAAATCTGTGGACTGACTTGAAGACTGCAGTCCACAAACACTCACCATCAAATTGAACTGAACTTGAGCAGTTCTGCAAAGAAGAGTGGGCAAATATTGCAAAGTCTAGATGTGCAGAGTTAGTAGAGTTGGAGATAAATCCCAACAGACTAAAGTCTGTAATTAAAGGAAAAGGTGGTTTAACAAAATACTGACACAAGTGGGTGATCCTTTTTCCATCTCAGTGATTTTTATATATATTTTTTGCACCGAGTAAATACAGCTGGATAAAACAAAAAAAATGACTGTCTTCATTTCAGGCTGCAAAGCAACAAAATGTGATTATTTTAAGGGGGGGGGGGGGTTCTTTTGATTCTTTTCTATACCCACTGTATGTGCTGTCAGATGTGAGTTTGTGTTGTGTGTGTGTGTGTGTGTGTTCATATAGAGTGAGCTGCATAAGAACTGCTCTCATGTCATGCGAGTACCTACAGAGAGCAGCAGCAGTCAGCAGCCTGTGCTTCACCCAGAACTAGACTGCAGCTGGAAACCATTCGGTAAGATTCAGATACTATAGTATAATATATTCATAGCAATATACTGTATGTTTCTGTCATTTTCAGCCAGTGCATTAAATATTTGGTATCTCTGTTTTTCTTTCCCTATAGACAGAAATAACTATAAGCAGTTACTCGGAGCAATGGATTACTCTTTCCTGTGTGCTTATGCCATAGGCATGTATCTCAGGTAAGAACAGATACAAAATACTCAAATATTTATGCATTTACACTAAAATGGCTTAAAGTGTTTTTCAGAAATCTAGAAGTTAAATTTCTCATTTACTCACCCATTAATGTTAGGCCAAACAAAGTAGTTTCGCTTCCACAACGAAACACACAGCACCTTCACAACATGGCGACAGCAACAATACTACTGCGAGAATAAAAGTTATGCCTTTGTGTGCACATTTGGGCAGCGTTATGCAAATCTTCCCACATAGTGACAGACATGTGGGGTGTGTTAGAATGAGCCGTTTTAGGTAGGCATGGTTGACTCTTAACTTCTGAAAGAATATCTCTTTGGATTTGAGACTTTAGTCTTTGCAACTTTACAGATCTTCTTTATGCACCAAGAGCTTGTAACACTCCAAAGAGAAAGGAACGATATAAATCGCATCATATGACCCCTTTAATACATGAAAAATGCCTGAAAATATTAAATCAAAGTTTTGAATTAACTTACTAAAACCATTTGAACTAATGCACCAAAATGGAATTTGTTTGTTAGTTGCTGACATTCTTAATACAACCTTTTCAGTGGTATAATTGGAGGGCGTTTGCCCATTCGCCTGTACCTGACTGTGGGCATGTTGAGCAGTGGTCTTTTCACCTGTCTCTTTGGACTGGGATACGTCTATGACATCCATTGCCTGGGCTTCTATATATTTGTTCAGGTGGGAGTCATACCTGTACAAAAAAAGTCTGATATGCTCACCAAGGCTGCATTTATTTGATAAATTCGGTAAAAATAGTAATGTTGTGAAATATTACAAATTAAACTCAAAAGAACGGTGTAATTTATTCCTGTTATGCAAAGCTGAATTTTCTGCAGCCAGTCTACAATGTCACATGATCATTCAGAAATCGTTGTAATATGCTGATTTGCTGCTTACTTTCTATTGATTAAATTCAACGTTTTCATTCATTTTTGTGTGAAGGTGGCCAATGGTTTGGTTCAGACCACTGGTTGGCCTAGTGTTGTGACTTGCATTGGTAACTGGTTTGGCAAGGGCAGGTGAAAAGCATTACACTTTCCACTAACATCATAAAGTCAATAAAAACTGTAAAAGTGTTTTCCTTTGCTCAGACACTCAATATGAAGGAATGCTTATCCTCTTAGTTGCTGTTATTTTACATACTCTAAATCTGTTATTACCTCCTAAATAAATGTTACATAATGTGTTGTGGTATCAGGAGAGGCCTCATCATGGGTCTGTGGAACTCTCACATCAGTGGGCAACATTCTGGGCTCTTTGATCGCTTGATATTATGTCTCCTCTAACTGTGGTCTGTCCTTTATCGTCCCTGGTGTTATCGCTGCTATGGGAGTCATCTGCTTCCTCTTTCTTATAGAGCGCAAGTAAATATGTCCTCTGCCTTGTTGTTTTGTGCAAGTGTGCCTGGGTGCAAAAATTGTCCCAAAGCACTAGTCACTAGTTGATGGGTTTTGAGGCGAATGCTTCTGTATCTCCAGACCCTAATGATCTGAAGATCGCCAGTG